TCTCTCTCTCTCTCTCTCTCTCTCTCTCTCTCTCTCTCTCTCTCTCCCCCCCACCCAACCATCCTATCCTCTTTCACAACACCTCATCCCTTTCTCGCTCAGACCACATTCCCCATGCATATCGATGTGTTTTTATGTGTTTGCTCACCCCTCCTGGACAACACAGAAGTGAGCTGAGGAAAGCATTCCTTCGAAAGGAACAGGAAAGCGACATCACCCTCGGTTTAATCTTTTCGTTGTTACGTTCGTCGTCTATGGGATGGCGACTTGGTACAGGACTCCGTGCAGCAAAGTGAGCACCAGCAACGAGCATCCTCATTCAGTTTTGCCAGGTCTGCACATTTATCGCATCCCATGCGTTTCCTTCGTTCCCTTCCTCGTTCACTGTCCATCTCAATGCTCTGACGGTCTCAGCCTTTGGGCGTCCTTCGTACATGTACATACGTATGCATATTGACCATAACTTCACCACCGTCATTAGGCACTGCCTACAATCAAGCAAGCCGGTAAGCCGTTGTCTTGTCAGATAAGGGCCTGTCTGTCATTGCACGTCAGCTGTCAGCAGCATCCACCATATCCACATCATGATTCTGGTCATCGTTGCCATCTCCTGGTCTGTCTGCTTTCAACACATTTTCAACAGCACAATCTACAAGATCTTTGCCCGCCATGTTGGAAGGAGCCTCCCGCAGGAACTGGGCTTCTTCTTCCTCAGACAGCGTGTTGCTGATGTTGTGTTCCCTTGCACCCGTCGCATCATTGCCACTACCCATCAGCTCTGCTTTGTCCTCTCTTCCATCACAAGCAGGTCGCAGATCCTCCTCTTTTGTATCTTCCCCTTGAGGACTAGCAGGGGGAGCAGTGGGAGGAGGAAGAGGAGAAGGAGGGTGGTCTTCCCTTCCTCCTGTCCCTAGATTTGTATCGGCCTCCATAGGAGCAACCCCATCAATGTCAGCGGCAGTGTCGGTACGAGGCGTACGCCGTCTAGCCTTGTCATCACTTGGATTATGATCGGATGACAGCATGTTATCGACAACAGGACTAACACTTGCTCCAGGAGTGGTAGGGAGGTCTCCACTCTCACCAACAACCTGCATTACGTCATTTGGGCTAGTTTCGAGCAGACTTGCCATGATCTGATCGTCCGATGGTGAGTCATCACTGGATCTGCTGCCTTCGACAACAGCAGCAACAACAGGAGGAGAGGGAGGAGTCGCAACGCAGTTGCCTTCTTCTGATCGACTAGCGTGCAAAGACGAAGTCAACACCATTGCTTCTGAGATTTCTGCCTCCGCTGATGACGACGATGGCGGTGACGATGACGATGACATCAGCACAGCATTGACTAAGTTGGCCTCTGTAGAAGCAGACATAAGCAGACTCGGTTGACCTGGCTGGTGTTGTTGCTGGCGCGGCAAGCCCTGCGACACGGCGATCATTGTGGGAGGAGGAACAGCAGCACCATCCGCAGCCTCTGAAAAACCGTCAGTAGCGCTCGACGGAAGTGGGGGAGGTGGGCAAATCTCTCCTTCACAGACTCCTCTTGCTGTCGGCAGGGAAGAGGGTGGCGAGAGCGGAAAAGGGTGTCGGGACACTTGGATGGTCGATGTCACCGATAACAGTTTCTCTATGGCCAGTGCAACCTTTTCTAGTGTAGGATACGTGGACGTTGGGTCCAGTAGAACCTCGCTTAAGCGTTGGATAGTGAACGGCGGCCCATCTATGAACTCAGATAGAGAGTGATGCAGCCGACCTCTGAGTTCTTCGAACGATTCGCCCGTTGATAATGGCCTTGGCGGACCTTCCCCTCCTCCCGAGGGATACCGCTTTTTATTGTAATCAGATAAAACCTGATCCAACCGGAAAGCCAAGAGCTTCTTGAGGAATTCCCAGTCATGCCAGACGTTACCCGTTGATGCCGTCACTTCGAGGATCCGCCGGAGCTCATCCGTCCATTCCTTTCTCGACTCATCTAGTCGGCAAAACTCCACAAGGGCCTCCGTCCCTGGAGGACTCAACCCCATGTTTCCTCTTCTTCTTTTCTTACCCACTATGGTTGCGCTCCCGACCTGGTTTTGCACCTGGACCTGTATCCTCGCCCACTTTGCACCTGGACCTGCGTCTGTTTCTGCTTCTGGACCTGGTGTTACACCTGCACCTCAATATGCTTTCACTTGAGATGTTTCGCCTTTATATCTGTGTCGGCTTTGCCTTCTTCACCTTGTTCTGCCTCAGGAGGGCTTTTGCTTCCACTTCTGAATGGGGTCCTGTTCCTGTGACCCGTTTGTCCACTGATTTGTCAGATCCCCAGTACAGCCTGAAGGTAGCCAGCCAGAAGCATGTGGTCCTGTTCTTGGGACCGGTTCCCCTGCAGTTTCCCAAATCCTCGCAAAGCTATTAGATTCCTCATTGATCTGTCAGATACACTGACATGTCAGATCCCCAGTACAACCTGAAGGGGAGAAGCCAGCCAAAAGCATGTGCTCTGGCCTACACGAAGCAGCCTGCATCGAGAACGATCCAAGCATCCACTTATTATCGACCTAATTAATCACCACCTGATGGCAGACGCCTTTGTTGCATGATGTTTCTCTTTGTTAATCCGATAATAATAACTAAATCACTCTCTCTCTCTCTCTCTCTCTCTCTCTCTCTCTCTCTCTCTCTCTCTCTCTCTCTCTCTCTCTCTCTCTCTCTCTCTCTCTCTCTCTCTCT